AGCAGATTTAGGCTGGACATTAGGAGGAACTTCTTCACAGTTGAGTGGCCAAGGTCTAGAATGGGCTCCCAAGGGAGGTGGTGCTGTCCCCTACCTTGGGGGTCTTCAGGAGGAGGTTGGATGGGCATCTGGCTGGGGTCATCTGAACCCAGCACTTCGCTCTCTATGCAGGGGGTCGGACTCGATGATCTGTTGAGGTCCCTTCTGACCCTAACATCTATGAATCTATGAATTTTGGCTGCAACTTTCCATGCAGGATATCTGTCTTAAGCATTTTAAGGTAAATTGCAGTCAAAATGGCTTAGCCAAAGTAGATAGTATTCCTGAGCATTAAGCCATAGGGCATTGTTTTGCCTTAATAAAACCAAATCTGCCTTCCTTTCTTTGAGTAGCTCTTTTGCCTGTGTATTTTGGAGCAAAGACATTTAGCATGTGTGCACGTCAGAGAGAGACTTCCTGTGAAGAAACCTTCCAGATCTGATTGTAGAAACATAGAAAATGAGGGTTGGGAGGGACCTCAGGAGGTCACATCTAGTCCAAACCCCTGCTCAAAGCAGGACCAGCCCCAACTAGATCATCCCAGCCAAGGCTTTGTCTTAAAAACCTCCAAGGATGTTACCCACCACCTCTCTGGGTAACACGTTCCAGTATTTTACTACCCTCCTAGTGAAAAGATTGTTCCTAATATCTAACCTAAACTTCCCTTGCTGCAACGTGAGCCCATGGCTCCTTGTTCATCATCTACTCCCACTGAGCACAGTCCAGCTCCATCCTCTTTGCAACCCCCTGCAGGAAGTTGAAGGCTGCTATTAAATCCCCTCTCAGTCTTCCCTTCTGCAGACTAAATAAACCCAGGCCCCTCAGCCTATCCTCATAAGTCATGTCTCCCAGCCCCGAATCATTTTCATTGCCCTGTGCTGGACTCTCCAGCTTGTCCACATCCTTTCTGTAGTGGGGGTCCCAAAACTGGACAGTACTCCAGATGCGGTCTCACCATTGCAAAATAGAGGGGAATAATCACTTCCCTCAATCTGCTGATCCAACTGGAACGAAAAATTTCAGCTTCTGCTCAGCAGATACTTTCTGGAATGAACAGTAAAGATCTCCAAAGGTTGTATCAGCAATGAGTAGTCTATTCTCAAGATGACCAGTTTTCCTGGATTTGCAGCTTGTGGGTCTGGTAGCCTGCATTCGTCCAGACACCGGAAGTGAGAAGAAGGAAGCAGGTTCTTCTAGACACTCACTGTAGACATCCAGGTAGTGCGGAGGAGAAAGTTGGTTGCATCAGTAGAGCTCTTGTCTCATTCTGACCGAAGGAACAAGAGTCACACCTAAGGGGCTAGGGATGATGATGAGTTGGGAGAAGGAACTATTTTGTGGGGAAGAGAGGTAGGCTGTTGGTAGGTAGGAAACCTGGGAACTGGTTTAGTGGGGCTTTTATAGGGAGTCAGGGGATTAGGAGGCAGTGGGTGTTTGGTGGAGAGACAGAGATTAGATGAGGATCAGAAGGGGACAACTGGGTTTGCTGAGCAGGATGGGTAGGAGTGGTAGGGACTGGGAATGGCTCAGCAAGTGGAGTGACATTGGGGTGAGAAGCCCAAATATTGGAATGGAGACTGGGATTAGGATGGGAAGTGGGAATGGAGAAGAAACGGTACTGGGATACCGACAGGCTGGAAGGGAGAGGGTCAAGCTTGTGGGGAATGGGCAAAAGAGTCTGCCTTAATTAAAATATGTTGCCATCCCCTTCTGAATGGAACCCAAGTTTCCTGACTCCTCATTCTGATACCAACATCTGTGGCACTTTCAGGCAGATTATTTTATTCCCTTTTTATTTCTAGTCCATGCAGAGGCTGGTATTTTGTGCCTGCTTTCATTTAATCTGTTCAAGTGCTAAAGGTCTGACTGGTGGTTCTCTAGGTGCCAACTCCTGCTGTTGACCCATGTGGATGTTGGTTTGATGCCATATGAGGCCATTTCTATTTTTTTATCATTTTGCTTTTTTGTCACCCCAGGCAGCGGATATGCATGCTGTGTTCAAAGGTTAAAAAGTCAAGCCTGAGAAAATTAAAATACCAGAATTAAGGTTGCCTGCATATTAAGTACTTATTTTGTTGCCCTCTGTCTTTTTATTTTATTTTCTTTTTCTAGGAGGGAAGATAGACTGTCCGTACCATGGAGAAAGGTCTATTTGTCACTCAATGAGCTTGTGAAGCGTGTAGTCCTAGATTATCTTGCCAAAGGAAAAGGCACTTATAACAGATTCATTCTTTTTCATGTTTGGGTTTTGTGGGTTTTATAACCCTTGAGATCCCTCAGCAATATCTTGGAAGAAAAACAGGCATGTGAATTATTGGGTTCCTGTCCCATATGTTCTGCTGAACTTTTAATGAAGTTGCTTTTGTTTAGTGCCTAGATACTCCTTTGATTAAGGTTGTATAAATATATAGAATAATTTCATCTAGAACTTCTTATCTGTTAAGTTTCAGTGCAACCTCCCGGTCTTATCTTGTACGCATCTTTCCTAATGAAAAAAAAGTTTAATTCATTCTCCATACTGCTTTACTCCTGGGTTTCCCTGCGCTGCATTACCATATTGCCTCATTAAACATCCTTTTAAAATCTTTCCCTTCTAGCTCATGATTCACTCTGTGTGAAGTCTTCTGATGCTGTAGCACATGAAAATAACACAGAAAAAGACAACCCATTGTGCGAAGCACTCAAGGACTTCAGCTTCTCCAAAATAAAATTTGGGTTTTCTTCCTTGCATTGTAATGAATTTAATTGATATCGTTAACATTTTCTAAAATTTTTGGGTTCTACTTCTAGCTGCCAGCAAATTGTTGGTGTTGTGCTACACTCCCTCCTACCTGCAGTTATTTAAATCTCAGTGACTTGGGTTCTTGTTTTTTTTTAAATTTGTGATGCTGTATTTTTTTTTCTGATGCATGTAAATTGTTTCCCTAGGTATGCCATACCCCCGGAGCATGGCAAGCGGCTGGAACGCCTGGCAAAAGGTATGCTCACCTGCCCACTTTGCTCATGTTGCTTCTGTTCAGACAAACGTGTGGACATGTGTTATGAACACTGTAGCATCCCTGGGATGAGTCGCACCCTTGATTTTTAAATCGATTCACGTAGCATTGAGACAGGCCTGCTTACTATAATTTGCTCTTGCTAGAGGTAGCTGATGAATCTACACTGGGTGTATCAGCCCCACAGCCAGAGACCTTGCCGTCTTGTCAGCAATGCTGTAAACAGTTGCTGCTGGTACAGGTGGCTTCTCAAAGCCTTGGTCTCCTGACACACCAAGGCCAGGCTAAAATAGATGGAAAAACTTTCATTTTGAGATGTTAAGACCAAACCATGGAGCTGTCCTGGGAATGAATTCAATAAGAGACCCACCATGCCTCTCCGCATGCCATACATGGCTTGTTAAGGCCCGTCGCAATGAGATGAGCTCTACTGATCCCTTTGTTTGGAAGGCCAGCTCCTGGGCTGCTGTGAAGCTTTCCCTCCTCACTCTGCTTTGTGCAGCCTTTGAAAGAGGAAACATTATAATTATTTGTGCTTCCCTCCTTATAAATCTGTTAAAAACAAACAGTGTTTGTATTGATTACTGCTGAACATTTTTCATAAAAAAAAATGCTTAGAAACTCAATAATGGTGGATACAGGGATCATAATTGTGGGAATTCTCTCTTCCCAGTGTATATATTGTCTTTGGTAGCAGTCCTCTTATACTGGGGCTCTGTAGTCTGATTATTTCTCTTGCTTCCCCTTGCCTTACAGTTGAACCATGTTTAGAAAGGAGACATAGATCCGAGGCCAGTGGAGCAGTGGGACACTCCCTATCCTTTAAGGATCTTTCATATTCTAGAATCATTTTATTCTTTTTGATGAAGCAGACGTTTCTCTTCTGAGTTTTCAGGGTGGGGGAAAGAGTCTTCTATAGCAAAGTGATTATGTAAATGTGCCTGCGGCGTAGAGTCAAAACTCAGTCGTTGCATCACCAGAGTTGGCTCATCCTAACGAGGTCCTGCATCCTTTCGATTCTTAATAGGCCCTTTCCCACCAAGTTCCTCCTGGAAACCTTCTGCTTAATAGCTTAGAAGAGCTTCTCTTCATGCATTGTTCTTCCAAGTACAGTTCATCCAGGTTCCTACTTTTTAGAGCCCATCAAAAAGGGAAAGGTAGGACTGAAAAAAATATGCTGGCCAATGTCTTAGTACGCAAAGAAAAAGGGGAGGACCATTGCTGTCATTTCTGCAACAGTGGTCACAACATTTTTAGAGGCTAGCATCTTATCACGTTCACCCTGCCTGGCTTGGATGTGGAACATCCTTACTGGCCTCATCCTACTGCTACCCCTGCCTTCTTTGTGACCATGAAGGATTCCTATGAAAGATTTCTCTTCTTGGTGTCTTTCCTGGAATTGTGAAAGCATGTGGATTTGCTCACCGAATCTCAGACTAGTCCCGTAGCAGAATTAACCAGCCAATTTGGCCACCACTTTCATCCTTACTGGATCACAAAAGCATTTTTTTTTTTGCTCCTGAGCTCTACTTGTTTTCAGATACAGGTACAACCCAGCTAAGAATTGCCCATGCTTTTATGGTTTGCCGAAGCATCTCTGGTAGTTTTACAGGGACAGATGTTTTTATCCTGTTGATTTCTGTAATTTCTTGTAGGCTTTAGGTGCTTGAGCACCATCAGCAGAGCCAGTGACATTTGGTACCGCACGCATGCACATCCAGAGGCCACCTATAACCAGGTTTTTCATAGTCTGCTAGCCTAGCAGGGCTACAGCCCATCTTCAGCTGCCGAGACCCCCATGTGAACCCACTTGTCTGGTTCCCCTGCCCCTTCCCAATGTAATCCTAGGGGCTGCAGTATAGTGCCAGCTCTTCAGTGGCAGGGATAAAGTTTGGCACTCCATCACGGGAGGCAGCATTAGGATTGTAGGATGGACTTTGGACAGTCCTATGAGGGTACTTATAAGGTGTGCTTGAGTATGTGCTTAATGGATTGCTGTTTCTGCGCACTTAGAAACGTTATTGCACCGACGACTCTGCAATGTATGGGGAGCCGTCCCAAGTCAAATCCTTGCTCCAGAACAGTTAACTGAAAACAATGTCTCCCTTTCCAGAGAGGTATACCTTGAGCATCACACTTGTAGCAGTCATCATATAGATGACTTATTCTGCGTTCAGTCGAAGATGATGGAAAACAAATATCTGTGACACCTGTGACATTTGGAAAATGTTTCCGTTCTGTTTCTAATTGGATGCTAGCTTCCAAGCTGTACTTGCAATATTAAAATTTCTTGCTGACAATCTAACAGTTTTATTGATCATTGCATACTAAATAAAAGCCAATCCATGGGCCAAGATTAGTTTACACTGATAGGAATGATAGTCCCAGGTTAAGGTCGCATTGGCCTTGTGATCACTAGTGACATTTACATTAATAAAAGTAGCAAATTATTGCCTTGGAGCGTAGAGTGTCTAGGCTGTTTCAGATCCACCTAATTGAGTTTAGAAGTCAAGTTTTCTAAAAACTATCATTTCAGTCATCAAAAAGGCCAATACTTCTAGATAATATCTCTAAATTTTAGAGAACCTGAACTCTTTCACCAGGTTATAACATCTTAAGGAATCTTTCTGAAATCCCTTGCCATTTTGTAACTAACTCTACCTGATGTCAGTATTTGGGACTTGTTAATATTGGGCAATGCAACAACCACTCACAAATTGCTAATGAGCTGATCCGTATTTTGAGATTTGTCTTTTCCCCTGTTGCTTTGCTTTCAGCTTGATTTGGGAGGCACAGGATAGGTCCTCTTCACACACTAAAATGGAACAGGGTCACTTTTTAAGCATTTCCCCCCCAACCCTATGCGTCAGCTAACTGTATTATATAGATGTTCAGCACAGTGAAATGAGTTTGCGATTAATGTGGAAAATGAATAGCTGAGCTATAAATGGGCTCGCTGGGAGAGTTTTGGAGCCCATGGAGAGAACGTTAATGTGTTGCCACGTTATTGGTGCTAATCACTTAAAATGCGCTCCTTTATTAGTAGCTTTAATGAGAGCCACTTAAACTGTGCATTAAAAAGAGGAACTGCAGAGAGGGACGACAAACTGGGTGGCAGGCAGTCATAATTCTAATTGAAATGCTTTTAGTACAAAAAAGTAGCCAGAATCCAGTAATTTTTTGCACTTTCTAAAGCCTCCCCCTTATATCCCATCAATTGGCTTTGTTTCTAAGGCTGGGGTTATATATATTTTTTTTCACAAATGCTTGTGGGATATTTTTTCTTCAACCCTCAATTTTGATTTTATTTAATCAGGTACCAAAAAATGGTCAGTGTTGTCTGGAACAGGACTGTGGGGTTGAAAGCCCAGGCAGGTGAAAGGTAGGAGATAAGGGAGGGTGAGAGGCTTTATGTGGGTTTAGGTTAGTATCCCAAGACTTCCATAAGAGCTCGGGGCTCCCAGGGTTTGCACACGTGTAGGAACGCTGTCTCTTCCTTAAAGGCAGTAGATGGTTTAAGATGAACGGATGAAGCATATTAGGAATGGTGGCTGATCTGTAGCTAATCTGTATGCATACCTTTTACCTTTAGGTTTAAAATTGTGGATTTTTGTTATTCTGTTTCAGTTTTTTGGGGGTTGTTGTTTTGTTGGGGGGTTTTTTTTTACCCCAATCCTAGGCATCATGAATTAATGGACTTCATATTGCTTGTTTTGTGTCTAGTGGCACTGTTCTTTCTGATGGTGAGAGAACCTGTCCAACTCAGACCAGACTCATGGCATGCAGCCAAGCCATAGGGACCTTTTACCTTTGTAAACAGCAAAAGGTCCCTATGCATTGTCTCTTGTTTTAGATGGTGGTGGGGTAAATATATACTTTTTCCCCTTTTGTTTTTTTCACCAACTGAAACTAAAAACAGTCGAATGCCTGCCCATACTTCGATGGTGCATTAGGCTAGCACAGGTAAGGCATGCCTGCTTTCATAGCCACTGGTGTACAAGAAATTCTGAGACTAGTGTCGCATCCTACCACCTTCAGATCTCCAGGGAAAATTGCTGTGTACCCATTGAGTAAACTGGCACCCATTTTTGGTACGGGGCTGGGACTTGCATTTCTGGATTCATAGCGAGACATCTTAACTGCTCTCCCAGGCATGCCTCTTGGTTGAAAATAGTCATTTGTAATTTTTCCCCTCCTCCTCACTGCTACCTCACTCTGTGTGCAGTGGAGGAAGGTACCGGGAGATAACGACCAGTACAAGGCACCTTGATCTAGGCTCTGTAGACACTGTACTGCTTTATTTTGCTCAGAGTAACACGGATGCCCACCAGTGAGTGCATAGGCAGGGCAGAGCAGCGTGCAGAGTAGCCAGCCTACTGTTAAGCTTTGTAAGTCTTCTCTTGGTTCCTGGCCGCAGGGCAGAAGGGAAAAGAAAAATGTTCCAGGCTTAGAGCACTAACCCCTGGAACCTGGGAGACCTGGATGCAGTTTCCATCTTGTGCAAGCTTGAGCAAATCACTTAGCTTCTCCCTGCCTCAGTTCTCTATCCATGTCGGATAGAGATAAATACATTAAAAAAAATGCAGGCTACTTGGATACCCCAGTGACTACCTGTGAGTACTATAGATAATTTGTGAGTGAGGATGAACATCCGTGCTCGGTCTTGAGGCACTGTATTATTGGGAATGGAAGTTCAGGGAAGAAGGCAGTGTTTTGTGAGAACCCCTGGGAGATTTGTAAGGCAGACCTTATTGGCAAGACTGAAGATAGCTTGCTGCGACTGAAATATGGGTCTTGGGCCAGGAAGATGGTGGATGCGGGTAGATGGCTGATGATGAAATCCTAAAGTCCCTGATTTTGCACCTGTGGGAAACATTGCAATGCCAGCAGCATTACCCAAGGCAAAGTGCCGTGTGTACCTCCTTTTTTCTAGTGCTGGGGAATGGCCAGGAGACAGATCCATCTGTTATCAGAGACGTCTAACACATGACCCTGTGTCAAAGACAACTGTGGATCTTTGTCATTGTCACCATCTTGTAGGCAACACAAGCAGGATAATCAGCATGCCCAACCTTGCCGTTTTGTTTTCACCTTATGTAAAATATTCCGGCATACTAACGTTCTGCTGGCTCATTTTGATGGTTGATCGGTGTCTCCTGCTTGGTGAATCTGTCTGTGCTGACGTTCGTTTCTTCTGAATGCCTCTGCAGGATTTTTCCCAGGAAGCTCTCAGGGATGCGATGCCTTTCTCCGTCACAAGATGACCCTCATTTCACCCTCCATCTTGAAGAAATATGGCATCCCGTTTGACCGGGTATGTACAGAGGACATTTCAGGGATATCTGTTAGTTGGCTAAGAACTGGGGCTGCTGCTTCTGTTGGAAGGAAACCATTTTGGGATGGACATGCTGGGGAAGAGAATGCTTCACTTTGCAATATAAAAACGTGCTGTCCGTTTAAACCAGGTGATCGTTGAAAAATTAAAGATTCACCGCTTGGCTAAGGCAATCCCTATAAAGTGCTTCCAGTAATGAAATTTTGCATTTGAACTGCCTTCTGCATTCAGCTAACCTAAACCTAAGCCTTGTAAACCTGTGAATTGAGGAGTATTCTGTTTTCCTGGGGGGGAAGGGGGCAACGATTCTGTGGCCTCCCCAGTGGCGGGCAGTAAATGTTAGCGGTAGTTTTGGGAATCCCATTTCTGTATTTCTCTGCTCTAAACAGAGCTCTAGAGCTAGAGACAGAAATAACCTCTCACATCACCAGTCTTTTTGGTTTAAATGAAGCTGTGTCAATAAGACGATGCGACTGCCCCCTGTCTTCTGGTCTGAACTCAGGCTGGGCAGTCATTTCAGAACACTTGCCCTGAGTCCTGTAGTTTTAGGTTTGAGATTAATTGCGCCTTTTTTGCTACCACTCCACCCAAGGTGATTTGGATCTTTGTTGAATCAGTCTTATCACTTCTGCCACTGGTTGTTAGTCCCACACATAGCGCTTATCTGTGGTCAGATGGTGTTAGTACAGGGTCTGAAGTAATGGCCAACGGCGGCGTGCAGGGCTGGGGAAATAGCTGAAGGGTACAAGAGTACGAAGAGCTAGAAATTAATAGAGGAAAAGTGACTGTCCTTTCTCATTACCTTTTACATGCCCATTTGTGATTGGTATTGCCAGTGCATTTTCCCCGAGATACGAATGCCTACTTCCTGATCATTCTCAAAGTAGGGATTTGTTAGAGTTTGGGTGCTTGAAACAAGGCACGGACCAGAATTGAAGGGCTTCATCATCCTTTGAGATGGAATTGAATGCTTTCTCTTTTTTTAGAAATAAAAGATTCTGGTGCTCTGTGTCAAGACTATGAATTCATTCAATTTACTGCTCCAGAAGCTGCTTCATTTTTCCTAGTGAAGGCTGCGATGAAGGAAATGTGAAGTGCCATCATCTGACTTTTCAGATCAGCTTACTGTCAGTGCAGCGGAGACTTGTGAGAAGCCGTGTGGTGCTTGTGGCTCAGTATCAGCGCCCAGACTGGGCCCATTTTGCACAAGATGGTTGATCACTGTACTATAAGGGACAGTAAGCGGAGTTTTTTTTTTTTTTTTACATTTCCACTCATGGAGCCTAATGTTCGAGTATGAACAGGCACATATCTGCTTTACACAGTTAAGAAACTCCATTAAAGAAGTACAGATGTGGGTTTTGTAGTCTCTTAGTATGCCCATGGTGAGAATTCACTCTCTTGTGTAAAGGATTTCTCCATGACGTTTTTTTCCACTTTACATTGGCTCAACTCTATAACTAGTCTCATGTTACCCTGAAGTCTTTGAATTTTGAAGTCCCAGGTCACGAGGAACGTGAGCTGATTCAAACCTAAAGATAGGTCACTGCTTTATCTCAGAAGGATGATGAAAATGAAAAAGCAGGAACCTCTACTATATTTTTTACATTATTCTATTAAGAGGAATTTATTACTTGTCACTCTTTCCTCCTACAGAGTGTGAGAAGCAGCAAATAGGGAGATAATTTCATTCAGGCAACCTATTAAGGCATCGTTTTACCTCTCATAAAGGCCATGGTAAAGTAAATAAAAGTCTCCTATAAGACTTGAATTGTTTGCATATGCCAAGTGTTGCTATTTTCTTCCTTCCAAGCAGCTGTTGTAATGTTCTTGCTTTTCCTTTTGCTTGCTGGTCTGAGCAAAAGTTTACATTGACTGCTAATTGGAAACTGAATAGCTTCTGATCAGTAACGTAGCAAATTTCTACTTCTCTTCTCGGAAAAGATTTGTAAAAAGGGCAGTAAAGGAAGGATTTTTCACAACTGATCCCAAGAAGGTTTTATTGAACAGTGTTGGTTGGGGGGTAACTTGGGAAATGTTTTGCAGTAGGGTCTCTCCAATGTGCTGCTTGCTGAAGAGTCTGTTCTAGCTTCCTAGACCCTTTTTTCCCCTTATGGATCTTTTGATTTGTGAAGCAAAGGAAATGTGCAAGTGTGTTGAGTACGAAAGACGTGTGTGTGTGTGTGCGCGCACAATATTATGAGCACCAGTGTAATGGGGGCTGTGTTTTCTGACAGTCCTCAGAGTCAGTCTTAGTTGGTCACTGCATTTATTGAAAGCCAAGAGGGACCCAAATGATCATAAAGGATGAAATCCTTTTAAGAGCAAACTCTCCCTTTTAAAGGAGAGGGGATTATTAACATTCAGGGAGGGAATATGTCTGGGAAGCCTGACTGCAAGAAAGCAGAAGGGATGTGCTTTCATGAGAGCTTCCCTCTTCTTCTGTGCCTGTTTGAGGTGCTCACTTAAAAACCTTTTAATAGCGAGGTGAGGGAAAGCAGGAAGACTTCCCTAGTCTGAGCAACCCACCGCTGGAAAAATCCTAACCCAGAATAACAGCTTCTGGAGCAAGCGCATCAGTGTTCAGGGAAAGACTAATGCCCTCCTTCTTGTGGGAATTCAGGTAGGATCCCTTCATCTAAATTCCTGGTAGATTTCAAAGAAGTGAATCCACACACGTTTATAAATCTCCGTAATGGTATTTACTTCTGCAAAATAAAAGCAGATCGATACCAGAGCTTTTTAATAATTAAAAATGTGTATTTCTGTAATCCCCTATTGATTTCTCCATTTATTCTTCACGAGCTTGCAGAAGTCAGTAAATTCAGGCCTTTCTCCATGAGTGGCAGTTTGTGCTGGCTTCCCCTCAATAGTTATTACTTTTCTACATGGCCTATCCATCATCCTGAGCGCTCCTTCATTTATTGTAGGGATAATGTTGACAGCAGTGACATGGAGGATGTACACTGTGGGCTGGAAATGAAGACACCAGGATGTAGATTTTCTGACAGGAACATAATCTTTCCATCTTCTTAACTTAACGATCTGCAGCTCTGCTTTGATTTATGAAGGGGCTGGGTGGGATGGTGTTCTGTGGAGCTGAGTAAGGATTGGCCCTGAGCACCTGCATGGGTGGATCTCGAATTTTGAGAAGGGACGCTGATGGTACGGAGCATCATCGTACATAACTTGACCCTTTTCTTCAGGTAAAGAGGAACTGGAAACTTTACTAATACTGTAGGGGCCTAGCACTATATAAGATCAAAGCAAAAACAACTATAACTTTATTGGATTATGCATTGATTTGCTAGATAATATATTACATTTAAAAATCACAAGAAATTAGACAAAAGTGGTCAACATTGTCAAGTATTGTGTCATTAGTCCTGTAGGTGTTATAGTTAAATGTGCACCTCTTATTCAGAATAGTAAAACAAAATCTAGCCTTCTTGAGCATCTTGACACTGCTTTCAAACAGCCTGACCTGAGAGCAGCTGTGAGGCACGTACCCCCTAGCCAAGTACTGAGCTTGGGTGCTTGCAGACTGGGAGGGCCTGGGTGGGACTTGTCAGGGAGACCAGATAAACATGTCCGTAAAACCAATTTCCTCCCCTCTCTTTTGGGTGTCTGCTGCATTTATGTGTTGTGGTTTAAGCCTGGAGATTTAACAGTTCTTGCTTTAAAAAAGAAGTTTGCCTTGTTCATTGAGGCAACCTGAAAGAGGTTTTTTTGAGCAGGACTTTACTGAACAAGACTTGAGGAAAGGGATAATCCTTTGACCCCAGCTGACTTCCTGCCCCTGGGGCAGGGGGCTGGACTCGATGATCTTCTGAGGTCCCTTCCAGCCCGAATGTCTATGAAATCTATTAAATCCATAATGGGAAACTTGCAACAAAAAATGGACTCTTGCCCTTGGCTAGCTTTCCATGCCTGGCTGAGTTTGTTGTAGAGCTTTTCTGACTCACTTTTATATATTTTTTTTAAACTCTTCTGTTTATAGTTCTTATATTTGGAAGTTGTGTGGAAATCTACATGAATTCTCTAAAAGTCAAATTTCTTTTTAACTTTCCACCTCTTACTGTCTAGACATATCTTCAAGTTATGGATGACTGTTCCTAAAATCCCATTTTAGGTTCTTAAACCATTTTGTTGAGACTTCCACTGGTAGGAAATAATCCCAAGTGTTGCTGCTTCCCATGCAACTACCTCTGCAGTATAGGATCTGACAACACTTCTAGTACTAAAAAGGCAGGGTCAGGTCAAATTTTGACTCTTTCCCATTTAGCAAAATGAAGATGATACCACCTTCCTAAGGGTGTGTGTAGAAGTGTTCATGTACAAGCACTAGATTGATGACAAATAACTTTATAATCAATGCTGTATGTAAGCGACAGTAATTTTGAGTGACTTTTGAGGTGACATCTCTAGTCAGAAGTTTTCTGTGACTGAAGATCCAGTAATCTCCTTAAATCAGTAATATATGTGTGTACGTGTGTGTGTGTGTATGTGTATGTGTATGTATGTATATATATGAAATTACAACAAAATAAACATGCACAAGTAGACAAATAGTGGAATATCATTTTTAGTATTGTCTGTCCTGTTCTGGACATGCAAATACAAGTTTGGGGAGGGCTGGCTGGATGATATAGTGAACTAGTTTAAAATCAGGATGCATGAAGGCTAAGTACAGAGAGTCAAAGAGCCCAAGGCTGAATTGGTTCAATCATCACAGGTTAGTCTAAGCTGTGTAGATTGAACTGATAAGTGAGTGAACAGACATTCACTTTTGATTCCAGAAATGCAGTCGCATGTCTGCAGTGGCCCAGGTTAGAAGCCAGGAGGCGCTAGAGCATACCTCCCTGCTCTGCTGGAGCCGACAGCTTGGACCAAGGCTAGCCTGCCCACCCTGCAAGGGAGGGTTTGCAGGGAAGATGCAAAGCATCCTGGGATGCTGGGGGTCTGTGAGTTAATTTGAATCTGGAGGGGATCTGGGACAAGTTCAATAAACAGATTTAACCTAAATCAGTTAAGTCTGATACTGCATCCATCCAGGGTTATTGTAAGGTGGTTTTGGCTGTTTTTAAAGTGGTTTATGTGCACTGAACTTTGTTGTGCTACAGATTTGAACCAGTTTCCAATCACTTTATGTGTTATTGCTGTCCCTAGCCAAAATGTTGCTTCCATGTGGGAGCGAACACACAATACATGGGTTATAGTTGGGAAGAAAATCCCATTTGGGTGGCCCTGCTGACTTGTCTGTCCTTAACCTAATTGCTCATTTTTCAGGAACTCTTCAGAACATTAGAGATACAAAAAGCCCTGTTTTTGTCATTTAACCCTTTGGGTCACAGTGATTAAACTGGTTAAGGTGACAAGGGTTCCTGTCTCTTGACTGCTGCTATCCATTATTAAACAACTTCTTAATAGAAATACTTTTTATTGAAATGATTTTAAAGGATATTAAATCAGTACTCCAGTTGTCTCTTCTACCAGTACTCAAGAGTTGTCTCTTCCCCTTTTTAAAGATTAACTATTTATTAGCCTGTATGATGACAGTGTGAAAGAGGCTCTTTTCTTCTGATCCTTCTGGAGAACCTTGCTCAGTCACATTTCCTAGGGCTTCGTGCAGTTTATCTCCATTATGTTTGCCTCTCCTATGCCACTACATAACACAGGGAGTATCATAGGGTTTTTTTTAAATCCTTTTTTCACCCCCCCTCACCATTTTTTGCTTCCAGATCACTCAAGAAGCCGGAGAATTTATGATCACATTTCCTTATGGCTACCACGCTGGATTCAATCATGGCTTCAACTGTGCAGAATCCACCAATTTTGCCACACTGAGGTGGATCGACTATGGGAAAATGGCTACTCAGGTAGGTGTCTTTGTTTGGAGGACCAGGTTCCTAATTCCTTCTAGGTGACTAGAGGCAAATAAATGAACAGGCCTGCAAACACAAATATAAGGATGAAAATAGTATCCTGCAAAGAATATACACTTTCCAGGGTTTTATGCCCATTTGATGGGGATTGTCATTCTAGCCTGTGTCTTCTTACCTGTAAGGTGTTTATTGCATATTATTGGGAGGGTTGCTTTAGTATGCAGAGAGAGGTTGATGTGTTGTTTTAGTAGCTGGGGTGAAGCAGAAATCTACCAACTCACTCAAGTACTGCAGGGAATGAATTACCCTTGAGTAACCAGTATTTTAATCCTCTGTACTCTATTGGAAAAAAAAAAAAAAAAAAGTTGAATGGTGAAGTCATGCAGCTGTTGAAAACTTGACAAAAATGTGCAAGTGACCTGCAAATAATAGATTTTATTTTTTATTTTATTTTTTATTTTTTGCAATGTGAGAAACTTTGTTCATGTCTCGGTTGCTGGGAGAGGTGAGGGAGCCATTTGCTTCCCTGCATACAGCGCCTTACAGTTTCTGGGATGAACCTTCGTAAGAGGGCTTCAGTCAGAGACCCTTTTCTATGCAACATGTTTCCTTTGACAGCTCAGTAGTCAGAGCTGTTCCCTTTGACAGCTCACCGGAGCTGGTGGCCTTCAAGGCAGAATGCATGCTTCATTTGTTTTGTCACTTTTTTATTTGCATCTACATCAGTGGCAGTGAGGAGAGAGCTTCCAAGTTAATGAGTGGATCTAGTCAACAGCAAAGGTATTTTGCATGTCTTGTCCTGAAGGGGTGGTAAGTCAAGTCATTGGGTTTGCACAGAAAGCCACGTGCAAGTGCTGATGTATAGAGATAGATGGCACTTCTGGTCTTTTTTAGTGATGGTCCATTTTTCCTGCATGTTGCGAGAGAGGATGAATACTTACACAGGTAACAGCAGTTTAGTGTGTGGTACTATCCAAGCAATGCTAAATTGACATGGAGAAGGACTTCATTTCTGCCATAGAGCGATATCGCCTTCAAAGTCTGAAATCGGCTGTACCTGAACACTGATTTTCATAATGAGCTCGGCTGCTTTGGTCCCTGGATCGAGGCACTGAGATGCATACAGATTCAGTAGTGGCTTGTGTTGTGTGTGTGTATGGAGTAGATAGTCGATCATGAAGTTTTTTAACCCTCCCGTCACAGCCTTGGGGATATTTATGTTCCTGACAGCACCCTCCCTCTAACTTTTCATCTTCAAGCTGTAGTCCTTTCAGCTGTCTTCTTCCCAGCCAAGCCAGGATATCCTAGACATGATTTTAGTCACTGATAATCATTGATAGTCATTAATCAATCTGAATGGCTGCTGCTTCAGTGATGTGAGGCACTTCCTTCTGCTCCTGAGAGGCTGCATGTGCTCGTCCTAGTTTCCATTTCTTGCTCGGCTGTCAAGGAACTTGTGGAATCCCAGAAACTACAGTGACTTGAAGAAAAGTTACTCTTCATCTTCCTGCCTCTTTCTTTCAAGTTCTCAATTTTTAATGGATCAATACAGTCTGTCCAGCTAGGAGAGGGAGATGCTTGTAACTAGTGACACCCCGCAGAGGCTCTTCTCTCTGCTACATCCTCATCCTCCTTGCTCAATGTTCTGTGACATTGCCTAGGTAGGCACGGGCAGACTGGCTGCGACTATCAAATGCCATCATCTTTAGTGTCTGAGCAGCTCATCCCATAGAAAGGTGGCCATCCCTTCAGGCTGCTGAAAGGTGAAGTGCCTGCCTCGTTTATTTTTCCAGTAATTTGCAGCGCATGGTCTCGGGGGATCTGTTATTAGCTGACAAATGTGACATTTGAACTCTATACTTGTTCTAAAATAAATTCCCCTTACCTCCACGAACATACATCTTGGCAGTATTTTTTATTGACAGTTTGGAGGAAATGTGAGGCTGCTTGATGGGAATTCCACCGTGCGCTGCTGCAGCTCGGAGCATGAACAGAATTCATCAGCCGGCGCTGTCTTGCCTTGTCACATGTTGCAGTCGCATCCCGCTTCCCTCCTTGAGCTCAAGTCTGCTTTGACTTTTGTAGTAGGGCTGGTGCAAGTAAGGTTGTAGATCTAGACAGTCATTCAGATTAGACTGATTTTTTCGATTCTGGGGTAAGGCACTAGAGATTAGGGGCTTTAGCCAAGAGCTGTAGTAATTATTTCCAAGCATGTGCGCCATAATAGAACAGGTGTCTCCAGATAGGGCTGGCGCCGACTTCTTCAGAAGGAGACTTAAAGCTATTATAATATGCTTGACTAGGGAATCATAAACCACGGAGAAAAACTTCTACTTAACTTCCAACTGCTTTTATGCTGTGTGCAGGAAACTGAACCCTTTCCAATACATTTTTATTAAATTTTCAAGGTCTGATGGTCCAGGGTCCACAAAAGTATATGCTAAGGCAGTGGTTCTCAAACTTTTTTTTTTTTGCAGATCACTTGAAAATTGCTGAGGGCCTCGGCGGACCGCTGAACAATATTTTTTTTGTTCTACAAATCAAAGCACACAACCCGTATTTGAATATCAGTAGTCTTACCTTACAAGTACGGGTATTATCGATTGCTCTGCAACCTTTCTGCAGACCACCTGAATGGAGCTTGCAGACCACGGTTTGAGAAGCTCTGTGCTAGGGAGTTGCAGGGCTGGTCACAGCCATGTCGTTTTTAGTTGCTTTCTTTCCTGATGTTGGCTAGACCATAGCCAGTTCCTTTGAAGTTGAACTTCAATTTTTTCATCTTCATTTTTTTAAAATGCCGTTAAACTAAACTTCTGCTGAAATCAAAACTAAGCGGATCCTGTTGATGCAAAGCCATTTTAAAGACCATGGAATTCGTAGCCGTAGTAGCTGTTCTGGCTGGGAACATCTTTGGTGCCCGAGCATGGATTGAGTAACGTCTGGCTAATGTGCTAGAGAGGCAACATCAATTCCTGTATAATTTAAGATTTAATTAAAAAAAAATAAAAGGGGGGGAAGCAGACATCCGTTACGGATCGAAAGAAAAATTCTGATTTTTTTTTTTTGCAGTGCTTTCTGGCTGAGTCACCAAGCTAGAATGATAGCTGAAGTAAGTGACTTCATCTCTAACCTCACGTATGCTAAACTTCTTGAAATTCTCACCATTGCAACTCCATTGGTAGCAGAGAGGGTGAGGGACTAGTGTGAACAGGCTGTTAAACATTGTGCCTTTGTGTTGTCTAGACCTGCTCTGGGCAGGGTTAGGAAAGAGTGGTGAAAGTGCCTTCTGCCAGCCTACACCAGTGGTCCTACAGCCGCCGTGCAATTTCAAGAAAAAGATCCTTGTAAATACCTTGCCAGTTGGGCGTGAATTCCAAGCTATTAATGATAACAATTTTGATATTAGTGATGACTAACCAAATAATAACCTTTATAAGGGAAGAAAAGACGAACAATACTTTTAGGCAGCTACCTCTGCTTCCTGCTTCTCCCCCTTTCAAATATCTGACCCCTACCAAGGTGTGCTGCAGGGTAAGTAAGGGGCAGGGTAGACCCCAGAAGACTGAGATCCCATTTTGAAGTTAAAGGAGCCGTCGGAAAAGCATAAAACCGCAAGAGGTCTTAAATGAGCTTCATCAGCTTCCGACTTAGAAATGGCCAAGCAAATTTGATACGAGCTCAGTTCATGTCTGTAGCAAATTGCCATGGAGTTATGAACCCCCCCCAAAAATGGGGGTTTATCATGCAGATTTTGACAGACCCTTAACTACAGTGGGTGCCAGCAGGCACCACTCTAATATTAAAAGCAATTTTGGGCTCACCCATGTGTTCACAAACAAGTGACATTTGGGAAGTGCAGTTTTAGATTGAGCCTCCTTGCTTACGTTGTTAGGCGGCGTAGCGTGAAATTACTGAACAAGCAACATGGAGAGCTCCAAGCAAATCTGGGGAGAGAAAGATGAAGTGTGGAAGGAGATGCCCAATTTATTTCCAAGCCACGCAGTGACTCTTCTCTGTTTGTAGGTTTCCAGCTAATGCCAAAACCGGGCTTTACACACATGTTCATTAACCCTTTGGTACCTTGGCGGGAGATTTTAGATGAGGTGCGAGGGCTCTGCTCGGATAAGGGCAAAAGGTTCATTTGAATCTCATTTTAAGCTAAATAAGGATTTAATGAAATATCAGATGGCTGTGCTTTATGTAAACTCACATTGTCTGCACTGTTCCTGAAGAAAGGAAAGTCCTGGACGATGTGATTTTGGTCAGTGCAGTTTTTTAACTGACTAAAGCAGCTATGTTGACTCTTCAGGTCAGTCAACTGGAATAATTTTTTCCATCCGCACTGGAGTAATTTTTCCCTGAATTCGCTATCGCTGTTTAGGAATCCTGGACCAAATGGCATTCTGGAAGTATAATACTTGAGCAGAATACAGAATAATACTTGAGCAACACCAGGCTCTGCCTGTTGGTTTCATCGCCTCTCCTCCGGTTGCCAGCATGCCAGACTTCTGCTCCTACTGCTGCACAAGAGCCTGGTAACAGCTTGGTGTTCACAGCAAGCCAGTTGACTCGTGCCCTTCATTTTGTTCTGTTCTGCAACACAATTTCTGCCGTTCGTAGCTGTGGGTGGAAGGAAAGATGTTAAGGAGCGATTTGAGGAAGGAGTTCATATTCCATTGTGAAGGGCAACCTCAGAAAAACCTGGATACAGCAGCGCTAGCTGCCTGCCAGGCAGACAGAATGGGCTGACAACTACAGCGAGCCCTGCCTGGCCTCCAGAAATTCATTATATCCAAAAATCGAGTCTAATGATCAGTTTACAATTACAGCACAACCAGTTCCTAGCAGAACACGCATCAGCACTAACAGAAAATCAACAGTGGCCGCAAAGTTACGCGGATTACTAATGATGGCTGAATGGACCTTGCAGCTCTGTAAACCTGTGCCAGAAAATACTTTGTACAAAAAGCTGGTTAAAGGTGGCGGGCACTTGA